ATGTCCTAACTTTCAAGTCTCCTTAATCATATCTCTTTCGAAGCCAAGCACAAATGTGGTCTTTTTAAAATAAAATATCAGGCTGTTTCAGACTGATCTCTCCATTCTTGGTCTCAGTGAAGCAGTTTAGCCTCTGATTATTCTCTAATTTTTAGTGTGTGTATGTTTTGTCTATAAAGAATGATATGGCCTGGGGCAATCAATATTAATTTTTATGGATATGGAAAGTAATGACTTGAGATATATCTGTATATATATAATATAATGGTAGGGAGACTTCTATTTCAAAATAAATCTTGAATTTGTAAATAAAATAGTACTTTACCTTGATATAATGCTATTCCTTTGAAGAGTTTGAATTGTTTTAAAATTTATTTTGCCATTTATTTGTACTATCACTCTGTGATGTAGATGAGAAGAGGTAGATATAATGTAATGATTAACATTCTAAAGGGAGAATGTATCTTTGAGAAATTTTATTTGAAAGTTGAAAGACTATATCTTTTCATCTTTTGCTAAGAATTGTGAAGAACATAAAATATATTGAAACATATATAAATATAAGTTTATAGTGTATGTATCCCTTTTCCTTAAAAACTTATATATCAATGCTTATAACCTACAGACTAAAAAATGAAACACATAAAAATATCATATGCTTTGTTTTAAGACGGTAGATGGTGTGAAATGTCACCCTATCTCTGAAAGCCAAGATATGTCTATAGTAAATCCTGAAAGCAAAAATCAACTTAACACACCAAGACACATAGTAATCAAAGTGCCAAAAATTCAAGACAAAGAGAGAATCCTAAAAGCAGCAAGAGATAAGCAACAGGTTACCTACAAAGGAAACCCCATAAGGCATTCAGCTGACTTCTCACAAGAAACACTACAGGCCAGAAGGGAATGGCATGAGGTAATCAAGGTCATGAAAAACAAGGATCTGAAACCAAGACTACTCTACCCAGCAAGGCTATCATTCAATATAGAAGGTCAAATAAAGAGCTTCCCAGATGAAAAAAAAAAAAAAAAGGCTAAGAGAATACATTAGCACCAAACCATTACTGCAAGAAATGTTAAAAGGACTGCTGTAATTAGCAGGACAAATGGGAAGAAAAATAGAACCACACTAAACAAAAATGGCAATGAGTAAGTACATATCAATAATCACCTTAAATGTAAATGGATTGAATGCTCCCATAAAAAGACACAGAGTAGCTGACTGGATAAGAAAGCATGACTCATCTATATGTTGTTTACAAGAAACACACCTCACAACAAAAGACACACATAGGTTAAAAGTAAAGGGATGGAAAAAAATATTCCAAGCAAACAGAAAGAAAAAAAACCTGGGGTAGCAATACTCATATCTGATAAAATAGATTTCAAAATGAAGGCCATAACTAGAGACAAAGAATGCCACTACATAATATTGAAAGGATCTATCCAACAGGAAGATATAACCTTGATAAACATATATGCACCCAACATAGGAGCACCAAAATATATTAAAATTTTTCTGGAGGACTTCAAAGGAGAAATCAATAGCAATACAATCATAGCAGGAGACTTCAACGCCCCGCTGACATCACTGGATAGATCCTCTAGAAAAAAAATTAGCAAGGAAACAGAGACTCTAAATGCAGCACTAGACCAAATGGATTTAATAGATATCTACAAAGAATTACACCCCAAAACTACAGAATTCACATTCTTCTCAAGTGCACATGGGACACTCTCAGAGATAGACCACATGTTAGAACACAAACTAAGTCTCTACAAGTTCAAGAACACTGAAATCATATCAAGCATCTTCTCAGATCACAATGGCATGAAACTAGAAATCAATTGCAACAAGAACATGCAAAGACATTTGAACACATGGAAGCTAAATAGCATGTTATTAAACAATAAATGGGTTACCAAGGAGATCAAGGAAGAAATTAAAAACTTCCTGGAAACCAATGAAAATGAACACACAACAACACAAAATCTATGCGATGCAGCAAAAGCAGTTCTGAGAGGGAAGTTCATAGCACTACAGGCCTACCTCAAAAAACAAGAAAAATCTCTAATAGACTATCGAACCTCACAACATAAAGAAGTAGAGAGCAAACAAAAAGAAAACTCCAGAGCAAGTAGAAGGAAGAATATAGTAAAGATCAGAGCAGAAATAAATGACATAGAGTCCAAAAAACAATTCAAAGGATCAATGAAACAAAGAGCTGGTTCTTTGCAAAGATAAACAAGATTGATGGACCCTTAGCTAGACTCACAAGAAACAAAGAGAGAGAACCCAAACACACAAAATCAGAAATGAAAGAGGAGAAGTAACAACTGACACCACAGAAATACAAAAGATCATCAACAACTACTATGAACAATTATATGGCAACAAATTTGACAATCTAAGCGAAATGGACAAATTTCTAGAAACACATATTCTCCCAAAACTGGACTGGGAAGAGATAGAAAACTTGGACAGACCAATAACAACAGAAGAAATTGAAGATGTAATCAAGACTCTCCCAGCAAACAAAAGCCCAGGCCCAGATGGCTTCACGGGGGAGTTTTACCGAACATTCAAAGAAGAAATAACACCCATTCTCCTCAAACTATTTCAAAAAATTCAAGAAAAAGGAAGACTTCCAAACTTGTTTTATGAGGCGAGCATAATTCTAATTCCAAAACCAGAAAAAGACGCTACAAAGAAAGAAAACTACAGGCCAATATCCCTGATGAACATAGATGCCAAAATCCTGAACAAAATACTAGCAAATCGGATCCAGCAATACACCAAAAAAAAAATTATTCACCATGACCAAGTGGGATTCATCCCAGGGATGCAAGGCTGGTACAATATTCACAAATCAATAAATGTGATACACCACATAAATAAAATGAAGAATAAAAATCACATGATCATATCAATAATTGGCGAAAAAGCTTTCGACAAAATCCAGCATCTATTTCTGATAAAAACACTCAGCAATTTGGGAATAGAGGGATCATACCTTGAAATAATAAAGGCTATATATGGAAGACCTACAGCCAACATCATACTCAATGGGCAAAAACTAAAAGCATTTCCTTTAAGATCAGAAAGAAGGCAAGGATGCCCACTTTTGCCACTCTTATTTAACATAGTACTAGAAGTCTTAGCCACAGCAATCTGACAGGAAGAAAAAATAAAAGGAATCCAAATTGGAAAGGAGGAAGTGAAACTGTCATTATTCGCAGATGACATGATACTATATGTAGAAAACCCCAAACACTCCATCAAAAATTTACTAGACTTAATAAATGAATTTGGAAAAGTAGCAGGATACAAAATTAACATCAAGAAATCGATGGCGTTCTTATACACCAATGATGAACTCACAGAAAGAGAAACTAAGAGAACAATCCCATTTACCATTGTGGCAAAAAAATTAAGATACCTAAGAATAAACTTAACCAAAGAAATAAAGAACCTATTCGCAGAAAACTACTGGTCATAGAAAAAAGAAATAGAGGAAGATATAAAAAAGTGGAAGCACATACCCTGTTCATGGATTGGAAGAATTAACATCATTAAAATGCCCATATTACCCAAAGCAATCTATAGATTCAATGCAATCCCCATCAAAATACCAATGGTATATTTCACAGAATTAGTACAAATACTTCAAAAGTTCATATGGAACCAAAAAAGACCTCAAATAGACACGACAATCTTGAAAAAGAAGAACAAAGTTGGAGGGATCACATTACCAGATTTCAGGTTATACAACAAAGTGACTGTAATCAAAACAGCCTGGTACTGGCACAAGAACAGGCATATAGACCAGTGGAACAGAACAGAGAACCCAGAAATGGACCCAAGGCAATATGCTCAATTAATATTTGACAAAGGTGGCAAGAGCATACAGTGGAGTAAGGACAGCCTCTTTAATAAATGGTGTTGGGAAAATTGGACAGCTACTTGCAGAAAAATGAAACTAGACCATCAACTTACACCATACACAAAAATAAACTCAAAATGGATAAAAGACTTAAATGTGACTCATGAATCCATAAAAATCCTAGATGAAACTGTAGGCAACAAAATTTCAGACATCATACGCAGCAGAATTTTCACTGATACATCACCTAAGACAATAGAAACAAAGGAGAAAATGAACACATGGGACTACATCAAACTCAAAAGCTTCTGCACAGCGAAAGATACAATCATCAAAACGAAAAGGCTACCCACTGTATGGGAAAGCATAATTGCCAGTGTTATATCAGATAAGGGGTTAATTTCCAAAATATATAGAGTGCTCATACAACTCCACAAAAGGAAGACAAAGAACCCAATTAAAAAATGGGCAGAGGAACTAAATAGACACCTCTCCAAACAGGACATACAAATGGCTAAGAGACATATGAAGAAATGCTCAAACATCACTAATCATCAGAGAGATGCAAATTAAAACAACAATGAGGTATCACCTCACACCTGTCAGAATGGCCGCCATCAACAAATCATCAAACAATAAGTGTTGGCAAGGGTGGGAGGACTCTAGTACACTGTTGGTGGGAATGCAGACTGGTGCAGCCTACTATAGAAAACAATATGGTGTTACCTCAAAAAATTAAAAGTTGAATTGCTGTTTGACCCATTGATCCCACTTCTAGGAATATACCCTAAGAAGTCTGAAACACCAATCAGAATAATATATGTACCCCCATGTTCATAGCAACACTATTTACAAAAGCTAGGATCTGTAAGCAGCTCAAATGTCCATCAGTAGATAGACAAGTGGATAAAAAAGCTGTGGTATATATACACAATGTCAGGGAGGGAGGAGGAGGAGTGATTCAGTGGGGGGAAAAGGAGAAACATGTGTAACAAAAATAAATTAATTAATTTAAAAAAACATTTCCAAAAAAAAAAGGAGCTGATGTTTTACATATACGCACTGATTATAATTATAAAAATCTAACCTAAAAAAAAAATCAACTTAAATACATACCTTGGTGAAAGTAGTATAGAGAGAAGAATGTTAGTAGGTTTGATGAAGTCCTGTTAGATACAAATAAGAATGACAGAAAATTAGTAACACAACAAATTTCCATGTAATTATCATCTGAATTTAATAATTATTCACATTTTGATTAGGGAGCAGTTCTTTCTCTGGTTTTCTACTACCAAATGCCAATATGAATAATATTAAGTTAGCAATAACAGTTTGATAAGTCAAAAATAAAGGAATGGAGCTAAATTCCTGATTTTATATCATACCTAGTGTTTGTTTTTGCAATAATGTTACCCATTATGGGTGGATCCCTATTTGAGTTTTTCATGAATAATCCTCATGTCTATATTTTTTTCCCTTTGAAACAAGAAGGTGCTTGATCATTCATTCTCACTGGACTGCACTATTTTTTAATATAGAGAAAAGATCATTCCTATGAAATAGTTTGGATTTGGGAGCCCCATACAGAGAAAAGGAAAGCAATCGATATTAATTTTTTTTTAATCCTCACTTGAGGACATTTTTGCATTTATCTTCAGATAAAGTGGGAAGGACAGAGGGAGGAAGAGAAAGAGAAACATCGATGTGAAAGACACATTGAGTGGCTGCCACCCACACAACCCTTGGGGTCGGGGACAAACTGCAACTGAGGTATGTGCCCTTAACAGGAACTGAACCTGGGACCTTCTGGCTGTTTTCAGTTTTTGGCTATTCTGAAAAAGCTGCTATATACATTCATGTGTGGGTTTGGGGGTGAACCTGGGAAGAAGATTGCTATATCTAATGGTAAGCCTATTTATAGTTTTTTAAAGAACTGCCAAATAGTCTTCCAAAGAGGCTGTACCACTTTACCTTTCCACCAGCAATGCCTGATTGATATAGTATTCTTTGTGTAGAGAAAAAGAGATTTTATTATATGACTTTCACTTTAATTATAGGAGAATATCTCTGTGAAGCTGTTGCCTCTGCACCCAATACAAGAACCCTGGGTCAGCAGATAAAGAAATGGGAACTAAAGTGAGATGTGAAATGAAAGAAGTAAGGACAAACCTGCAAGGTTAGGTTAGAACCCCCAAGGACAGACTGGAAGCTTTGTCAATATTTCACCACTTTGATGCTTCCAACTTCAGTGATTGGGGAGATGTATCACTTTGCTAGAGCTGTCATAACAAAGTGCTAAAATGGGGTTGCTTATGAAAGAATGTATTTAGTTCTAGAGGCGATTAGTCAGAGATCAAAGTGCCACCAGGACTGGCTCCTTTCGAGAGCTGAGAGAGAAACTATCCCATGCCTCCTATTTCTTAGCTTCTGTTGGTTTGCTGACAGTCTCTGATGTTCCTTGACTTATGCTGAATCACTTCAATTTCTTCCTTCATTTTCACATGGCATTTTTCCTGTGTGCATGTCTGTCTTTGTACCTAAATTCTCGCATTTTATAAGGATACCAGTTGTGTTCGATTAGAGCCTACCCTAATGGCCTTATTTTAGCTTGATGACCTCTTCAAAAAGCCTATCTCTCTCTCTCTATCTCTCTCTCTCTTTTCTTTTTTCAGTCGAGTACTATTCTATTGGGTAACTGTACCATAGCTTTTTTATCCACTCATCTAATGATGGACACTTAGGCTGTTTCCAGATCTAGACTATTATAAATGATGCTGCTCTGACCATAGGGGTGCATATATTCTTTTGAATTCATATTTTGGATTTCTTAGGATATATTCTCAGAAGTGGGATCATTCAGTCAAAAGGCAGTTCCATTTTTACTTTTTTTTTACCACAGCATCGATGAACCTGGAGATTATTATGCTAAATAAAATCAGCCAGACAAAGACAGACAAATACCATATGATCTCACTTATATGTGGAATCTAATGAACAAAATAAACTGACAAAATAGAAACAGAGGCATGGACACAAGGAACGATTGACAGCTGTCAGAGGGGAGGGTGGTTGAAGGAGTGGATAAAAGAAGGTGAAAGTATTAAGCAAAAAAGCATATATGTATAACACAAAGACACAGACAACAGAGTGGTGATAGCCAGAGGGAAAGGGGGTGATGTGGAGTTGGGCAAAGAAGAGGAAATGGGGACGAAAAGAGACTTGGCTTGGAGTGATAGGCTCACAATGCAGTATACAGATATATATATATTTTTTTTTAGATAGAGTGGAAGGGAGGGAGGAAGAGAGAGAGAGAGAAAGAGAAACATTGATGTGAGAGAGATACATCGATTGGTTGCCTCTCACAGGACCCCAACCAGTGCTGGGTATCGAACCTGCAACTTAGGTACATGCCCCTAACCTAGGAATCAAATCCTTCAGTCTGCAGGTCAATGCTCTACTGAGCCAAACTGGCCAGGGCTGCAGACGATTTTTTTAATTTAGTTATACACTTGAAACCTGTATGGTTTTACAAACCAATGTCACCCCCAATAAATTCAATGGGAAAAATAATAACCCTACCTCCAAGTATGGCCTATTTTGAGGAACTTATGGTTAGGGCTCCAACATATCTTCTTTGTGGGGGTCACAATTCAACCATTAACAGGAGACAAACATGCACTTCGCCCAGGATTCAGTGCAGGATAAATAGAAAATCTGGCTGAAAAAGAAAGCTATAAATCAGGGCTGCCTATGCCAACAAGTTGACCAGCAAATAAGCAACAAAATGTGTGTGACCTCCAACAGTGCCTCCCTCCTGCCTTGCTTCATTCAACCTGCTACCAATTAAAAGAAGTCTGCTGCTTTACATATGCATCCCAAATCCCATGCAAATATTCTCTTGTGGCCCACACTAACCAGAACTATGCAGGGAAGGGAATCCCGGGAAGAGTAGTTCTAGCTTAGGTAGGTTGACACAATACAACTCATACATTCAATACAGACAGAATGCAATTTTAAAAAATGGATAACGTTTAAATATAGCCTTTATAATATAAGACATATGAATCATGAAAAGGAATTCATCCTCATTAGTATTCAGGAAATAAAAATTAAAATAAAAATGAGATACATAGATCCACAGATCAAAGTAATGGTTGTCCAAGGGGAAGGGCATTGCGGGACTGGGTGAAAAATGTGAAGGAATTAAGAAGTACAAATTGTCAAAATGCCAAAAGTTAAAGACAAAGAGAGAATCTTAAAAGCAGCAAGAGAAAAGCAGTTCATTACCTACAAAGGAGCTCTCATAAGACTGTCAGCTGATTTCTCCAAAGAAACTTTGCAGGCCAGAAAGGAGTGGCAAGAGATATTCAAGGTGATGAAAAGCAACGACTTACAACCAAGATTACTCTACCCTGCAAAGCTATCATTTAGAATCGGTGGCCATATCAAGAGTTTCCCAGAAAAGAAAAAGCTAAAGGAATTCATTACCACCAAACCAGTATTATATGAAATGTTGAAAGGTCTTCTTGAAGGTGAAGAACAAAAATTTTAACAATAAAATGGCAATGAATACATATCTATCGACAATTGAATCTACAAACAAAATGAACAAGCAGAACAGAAACAGACTCATAGATATAGAGAACTTTTTGTTGCTTGCCAGATGGGTGGGGGATGGGCAGATGGGTAAAAAGATGAAGGAATTAAGAAGAATAAAATGGTTGTTAGACTGATGAACCTCAAAGGGAAGTGGGGAGGGAGGGCGGGATGAGATAAACCAAAGAACTTCTATGCATATATGCATAACCAATGGACACTGACAATAGTGTGAGGAAGGCAGGAGAGGGGCGGGATTGGGGAAGAGGGGGTCAATGAGGAAAAAAAGGAGGGAACATCTGTAATACATTCAACAATAAAGATGAATTTAAAAAAATAAAAATTTTTTAATATATTTTTTTAAAGTACAAATTGGTTTTCACAAAATAGTCATGGGGATGTAAAGTACAGCATAGGAAATATAGTCAATAATATTGTAATAACTATGTATGGTGCCTGGTGGATATTTGAAATATCAGGGGGACCACTTTGTAAAGTATATGATTGTCTAATCTGTAGGCTGTATTCCTAAAACTAACACAAAAATGATATTGAATGTAAATGGTAATTGAAGAAAAATAAAATTAAAATTAATAAACAAAGGCTACCTGCCTCCACAAAAGAAAATCACAATGAAATAATCACACAGCCCTGGCCAGTTTGGCTCAGTGGTTAGAGCGTCGGCCTGCGGTCCGGAGAGACCCGGGTTCGGTTCCCGCTAAGGGCACGTACTTCGGTTGCAGTTTGTCCCCGGCCCTGGTTGGTCGTGCGGGTGGCAGCCACTCGATGTGTCCCTTCACGTCGATGTTTCTCTCTCTCCCTTCCTCTCTCTCCCTCCCACTCTATCTGTACAAAAAAATGGAAAAATATCCTCGGGTGAGGATAAAAAAAAAAAAAAAAAAGATTGAAATAATCACACAATGGTTAATATTAAACAAAATCCCCCACAAATAAATAATATCAAATTGTTGATGGGGATGAGTTTTTAAGTTTATTTCATCTTGAAACACATGAAAATATTTTGTCCAGTCATTATCTTAAGCAGACCTTAATATAATTGTAGTAATTGATAATGTTAATGTGTTTTTACATCTTACTTCTATAATTACCAAGTAAAATGAGTACAGCAATGTGGTAAGCAGAATAATGGTCCTCAGAATGTTCATATCCTCATCTCCAAAACCTGTAAATATGTTAGCTTGCAAGGCAAAGGGGAATTAAGGTCTCGGAGAAAAGTCAAATTGCTGATCAGCTGACCTTAAAATAGAGAGATTATCCTGGATTATTCGGCTGGGCCCACTGTAATCACAAGAGTCTCTAAAAGAAAAAGAGAAAGCAGAAGAGTGAGAGCCAGAGAAAGAGATATAATGAATGCAAGGGCAGAAAGATGCTACATTACTAGCTTAAAGATGGAAGAAGGAGGCACAAACCGATGAGCGCGGGCAGTCTCCAGAAGCTGGAAAAGAGAAGGAAGTAGATTCTCCCCTGGAGCCACCAGAAAGAAACACAGCCCTGCTGTCATCTTGATTTTCTCCCCATGAGACCTGTGCTGTATTTCTGACCTACAAAACTGTAAGATAATAAATTTGTGTATTTACGCCAGTAGGTTTGTGGTAATTTGTGACAGCAGCCAGAGAAAACTAATATAAGTAGATATTATCACCCCCATTTTACAGATAATAAAGTAAAGCAGAGAAGTCAAGCATTTGGGCTATCATTAAATGATGACAAAGTCCAGATGAGACACTGCTCTCCCATTTCAGGACTTTTTCCACAGCACCAACAAGGCTTTTCCTTGTGTGAGCAGGTTAATGTCAACACAAGACTCAAAGAAATTACAAGTTGTGGCTTTCTTCCTTTTATTTTCTTTTTTCTTTATTGAAGTAACATAATATTATATATAGGTCATGGCTTTCTGATAAAAAAAAAAAGTCATACACATTTTCATTCACAAAACTTCATGGATTTGAGCTGAAATAAATATAACACAAGAGGACTTTACATAATCTTGCTTTGCCCAAAGATATATCAGCTATATAAACTGCACACAAAAAACAAAAATTTCAGTTCGAGGACCTAGAAGACATTAGAGCCAACCACACATATCAATAATTTCAAATCAATTTGTGTTAATGTGCCTCCTATAACGTAAGGCTAGGAATCTCAGTTTATAAGAAATCAAATATATTACCCTGACCTTTTTCAAGAATTATAAAATGGTTCAGAGAAGTAGTTGTCCTGTTTGGACAGTATGTCAAGTGTTGAGTTAATACATCTCGTTAGAAACTGTTTTAACACATTAAATTATGAAGCAATCTAGAATGTCCCCTAGGGCTTTCTGGTCTTGACAGCATAAACAAGTAGTTCAGAAGTTAATATAAGGGAGGGCACAGCAGCTCTACATTTTCCAACTTCATGGGGCATCACTTGAAAGACATGTGAGTAGTGACTCCTAGAATTGTGTATTACAATGTCCCTGGTTCAAGAATAAAAAATAAATTTTGGGATTGTTCTGCCTGTCATACTCATAACTCTGTCCTTGTTCATAGAGAGAAAGGTAGTTAAGCACTGTGATTTATGGAAGGAAGAAGGCAAGTCAGAAGGTATGAAATTCTACCCCAAATATATTCCTTTGGATTGAGGTTTTCTAAAACTCCACATACCTGTTTATTACTTTTATTATTAATACTTACTCAAATACTAGCCATTTATTATAGAAAAATTTTAAGACACTGAGAAAAAATCTGTAATTCTATTACTTAAAGAGGCTTCTTCCAGCCTTCTATCCTTCGGTACTACCTATACTTGTATAGATAGCACATGCCATTGCCCACATTGGATCTCTCCCTTAGTAGGTGCAGCCTCTGTAATTGCGGAGGTAATGAGGACTGGGAGATGTTACTATCCTTCTGAAGTAAAAGAGGTCCCAGAAGGCTGGCAATGAACAGCCAATCTCAAGGTACGCATTTTTTGACAGTGACATAAATGTGCCTCAAGAAACCAGCTCCCACAGCAAAATATTTCCCAATCATCCCAAGTCCTGCCCTCCACTCCCACCTCTACACCTCTATATTTTATATTATATGACTTATGAGAGTGGAATCTATCAGAAGAAATGAAAGAAGTCAGGAGACTTCATCCCCAATTTGGAGAAGCTTGTGTCTGAGCTTTGCCTTCCATCTTCTTGTGAGCTCCTGTTACCTAGTGATGTTTAATATCTTCCCCACAAACACTAATGTCAGGCTTTAATGATAACTCGACATCAAGGGGATAGCTAGGATTCTATCAAGAACAGTGAAATAGATATAAACAAGTATTAAACAAAGACCACATATTGAGTTGGAGATAAAAAGCCTTCCTTTTTTTTATCCTCACCCGAGGACATTTTTCTATTTTTTCTTCAGATACAATAGGAGGGAGAGAGAGAGAAACATTGACGTGAAAGGGACACATTGAGTGGCTGCCACCCACACAACCCAACCAGGGCCGAGGACAAACTGCAACCAAGGCACATGCCCTTAGTGGGAACTAAACCTGGGTCTCTCTGGACCACAGGTCGATGCTCTGACCGCTGAGCCAAACCAGCCAGGGCAAAGCCTTCTTAAACAATAAGAAAATGAAGCTTTCCACTCAATGGTCCAATGATAGAAGGCTTAATATTACTTATCACTGAATGAAGCTTAAAAATGACCCCAGTTCTTCACTTCTCCCTTTATCCACATCTTTTGCGACATGCCTTTGTACTTCTGCTTGCAAAAAAGGCAGAATTCATTACCTTACCACTTAAATCTAGACTGATCTTACAACTTGAGCCAATGGGATAGTAACACTGGTGATGCAAACAGAAGCGTGAAAAAGTTTTTTTATAACTCTGCCTGCCTCTTGCCCCCTGCTATTGCCATGAAATCATGTCCAAGTTAGCCCATTGAAAGGACAATAGATACATGAAGTGAAGCTAAGAATGTCAAAATCAACCATCAGTCTTCCACTGCCCTGATACGGGAGCAAAACTAGCCGAGAACAACAGAGTTGCCTAGCTGCCCTATATAGCTGATCACAGACACATGTGCCAGCCCAGGCCAGAAAACATCACAGATTTATGCTCTAAATAAATGCTTGATG